TGAGCGAGAAAATTCTGGAACTGAAATTTCACGTAGACATCCACACGAAGACGGGTCTGCAGGCAAAATCCTTTGCTGCCGTTAATGACGATCCTAGATGTTCGTCCCCCTCTCAAACTTGCTTGTGGCTGCCCCTAAACCCTAAACCCCATTGTGACTTGGGTTGGGAGGTGAGAGCTCAGCTTCGGGCACTCTCCCTCCCCCAAACTTGTTGAGAATCTTCAAGGGTTCGGAAGTAACATTTTCCGTGTTGTAGAATGCAGATACCACAAATGGCCAGGCGATTTCTTGTAAAAATCTTCTTTTCCACGCTGTGGATGCAAAGGAGTCTGCAACCCTGTTAGTTCAGCTGTCTGCCAAATCTAAGCAGCAAACCCAACTTCTGGAATGCCACTTCGAAATCCTAATTCCTGAGCCTAACCTGTAACACCCTAATTCATGAACCAGAAGCCCTGCCACAAACCCAATGCCTTGAACCCTAAAAGCTCCACTCAGAAGCCGTCAACTCCCTAAGGTTCCCGCGATCTCAGAACCTTCGACGCATCCATCACTGGGCGCTGGAGCGGGGGTCTCCAGAGGCGTGCGTTCTCCTGATACTGGGCTGCTGTCAAGGAACTTTTGAAAAGACTATAATTAGGACACACGATGTTTTACTGTCAACAACAACCCGGCATAGTTTAGGGATTAGGCCTGCCAGGTTGCATGAGGCCCTATGTGCTATAATGAACTTTTTAAGTAGTGTCAGGCGCGGTCAGCCTCGTTAGGCTAAGGTATAGTAGGCCTAAGTGGTTTCGGGGCTTAGATTGTGGCATTTTTTGCACACAGTCAAAGTCGGGTAACGAGGGGTACTATACTTGTTGGGACTGAATACTCAAGGACTATTCAAGATTATGGTCGAACAATGCTAGCAGTTGTCCAGGCTGCTATACCATGGGGCTATATGATTTGAGCTTGGAAGTGCATGTGTCTGATTGTGAGCAATCATGGCCCTTCTGGGCCATAAACTGATAGGAACCTCCATGTCTATGAATGCCGTAAACTTGTCCAACGGACCCTGAAACCTGAAACCTGGTTTTTGGGTGGCCTAAGCCCTAACTGACTCTGAACCCTGAGTGGCTCATGAGATGTCATTTTGCCATGAATGCTGTGAGGCTGTCATCGCTGGTTCTGGATGGGCTTGGTGTGTGGTGCAGGGATCGTGGTTTAGGCGTTGGTGACTAGGACCCCTGGTTTTGATCCGGGTTTAGGTTTCACGGCTTAAGACTCAAGTTGAAGTATCAGTTTTCCTGGTTCAGGGAATAGAAAGATGTGTTTAGGGTTGAGAGAGGCTTTCTACACAGGGACATTCATGCGAATGCTACAACCAGAAGGGGCTTATGCAGGCATTTGCTGAAGGATCGGTTTATGGTTTAGGGTTTAGCGCCAAACTTGGCACAGGTGATCTCTCACTACAGCTTGAAAATGGTCGGGAGGAACACCTACAATATTCCCACAACGCTAACACTACAATACTAAACTTTGGCTGCTGCAGCCAGATGCCCACAACGATGCCCCTCCAGCTTACATACAGAGGTCTCTCAGCATGTAAGTATCGGTACCTCATTACTTAATTTTTTGGCCATAGGGCTACTTGTAAAAACTTCCAGATCAAATCTGAAACTAGTGGTTCCAAAAATGGGGTCCACCTTGTATACCCGAAAATGTGGTAATCCGTTTTAAACACCTTCAAGCAGCCGCAGCTCCACTCCAAACCCTCCTAAGCTGCCCTCAATCTAAATCTACTTGCCTTATATACTATAACTCTAACTCTGCATTCAGGGAACAGGGCAATGCCAGGCTGAGTAGACATATTTTGAGACACTAGTGCGACCCATACTAACTATGACTACGAGCTAGGACGTGACTATTTAGATCACAACCATGGCTTAGGGAGAGAGGGAGAGAGAGCCAGGGCGAAATCCGGCCTCAAGATCGAAATCCAGGTGCGCCCGACCTCGGCAATTCCGGGCTTCGTGCTTACTCAAACTCACACTGCACTCCGGGTTGTACATTCTCTGGATGTTCGATTGATATGTGGGTGGTTGTCAAAATTATGGTTCCTTTCTGGATCCCTATTATAATTAACACGGCACCTCATCTTTAGGGTCCCCAAAAAGGGATCATAATTTTGACAACCACCCATGTGTACCATCTGATTCAGGGTTACTTACGCTTCTCCGAAACCAAGGTAGCAGTTCCTCAGTACCACCCACACAAATACTCCAAGAGACTCACTTTTGCGTCCCCAAAAATGTATGAACCTAGCTTGGGCCAAGAGGAAAACGGAACCACGCAGAAGTAGACCATCATTAAGAGCGCAGCAGCTTTGATGCGCACACTTTCCAGGCTCCATTTGAGGAAGGGATCCTAAACCTCAGAGAAGGGATCAAGAGTACTTAGTGGGGATTCTACAGGCATCAGTCTGAGGAATATCCATGTCTGAGGCAGAAAAAAAAAACTAGCCGAATGGCGGCATCGTGCTTAGTTCTTTGAATGCCGCGGGTATGGGGTCCCTGACTAGCTCAAAATTCTAAACCTCTCAAACCCTTCTCCCTGAAACTAAACACCATGAGAAGAAAGTAGGTCCTTTGCAGTAAGTGCCCAGCTCCGTGTCTGCTGCGCAGCGCGCAAGGACTCCAGAGACCGCACGACCTGAGCAACTCTCTGGATTTCGGATTTCGAGTTTTATAGGAATTTCTAGAACCGCGGGCTTTGTTCAGCACTTACTTGGGCTGTTGTTTGCTAGTATTCTGAAAACGGGATGGAGACCTTGTCTTCCTCAACAGTACCATTCCACGGGTTGCAGTTGCGCGAGATGCTTGTGTTGTGGTTTGAAACCGGTTGCGCATGGGTCCGTGAGGCTGCGGGCTCAGAAACCCCAAACCCTAAATAACTGTTTCTATTTTCCTTTCCATTCTCCCAATATGACCCCCATATACTATAGTAGCTTCCACTGTATTTTTCATTATCCCCATATAGTCCCAATATACCCGCCCCAATGTATCACCCTAGACCCTAAACCCTAAACGCTAAACCCTAAACCCCAATGTACCTCACCATCCCCACCCTTCATTACGGGGAATGACATGGATGGTGAAGAATTCTGCCTGGAGCCATAGGATTCGCTAGGCGTCCTGCAGCCGTCCTGCAATGGTCTTCTGCATGCCTGACATCTTAGGGTCCTACTCTCTACCCACCCCACCCCCTTATCATTTACTCCCAAACCCTTTTTCGCAAAGTCTTTCATCTGTAAGGCCGAAGCTCTGAACACCCTGTAACCAAAACACCGACTCCCAAACGTATCAGCCCTGCCTCCCCCACGCTGCCCTGAGTCCTATAGGTTTTGGGTTTAGGGTATAAAGCCCAAATCCTGTACCATTAAACCCTCCAACCCTAACTTTAAAATCGTAAACCTGAACTCCATGCCACGAGCACCACACACCAAATTCCAACTGAATCCCCGAACGAAATCATGAAAAGCGAGCATAAACAACAAACATTAAGCAACAATGTGAAGATCAAGAAGATCAACAATGCTTAGAATGATCGCGGCCATCGTAAGAAGAAGCAACTACTGAACCCCAAACCCTAAAGCCTAAATAACAAACCCTAAACGCTAAATCCCAAACCCCCAAACCCTGAGAGTCGTACCGAAGCCAGCTCCTTTCGCTGCCCGCGATCCGAAGCACGCAGATACCGCTGCACCCCGGGCTGCCGAGAGGCCTGCTTGGAGGTCAGGGGACATATAACTTATGACCTTTGGCCCCCCTTAAGTAGATAGAATATGGGGTATATGGGGATCTTATTATAATATCCGCGAAGCCATATTCTATCTACTCAGGGGGGTCAAAAGTGTCACGTTTTGAGAGCCTAGGGCTTGTAATCTAGCTTAGGGAACGCTATATACACTCTTTTTTAGGGCTTAGGGGGTAAGATTTAGCGTGTATGGTGTAAGTTCCAGGTTTAGGGTAGAGGGTTCAAGCTGTAGGGTACTGGCTTCTGGGTTCAGGGTTCAGGGAGAGGTCCAGACTTAGAGACTGTTCAGGGTATAGGGTTTAGGGTAGCACAAGTTTTCTGGTGATTACCAGCTATGAACACAGCTGCTAAGTAGGTTGTTGCCCTGCACCTCCAAGTACAGGAAGAATCGAGCTGGTTGTAAGTCTAGAATGAAGGAATGGAACGGAAACTGGAAAACTCGCTTGTGGTGTTGGGCTTAGGGATTCAGAGTTCAAGGCTTTGAGATTTAGGCCTTGGGGTTAGAGGTTTAAGGCGAAAGCAACACTCATCAAGTTCTGAGGCTTCTATGTTATGCAGCCAGGAAACACTCAGGCGTTAATTTACTACAATTCCTTTTGAAGACTCCCAACAACGACAGCTAGTTGATGGTAACCTCTGAATTCTTCCGGTGGCTCCTGGAAGACACCTGCGCACTTCTTGGCCAAGACGGCTGCGTCCTCCATCGCCGGCTTTGGTACGCCAAAGTGCTTCTGGTAGCTGGTCCCAGGATCCAACCTGGAAAGAACTTGCAGTTTACTTGGTTGCTGCGAAGGAACTTAAAGTTAATTACCGTAGTGGGTCTACATAGTCAATAATAAGGTTTCCGCAATAGAGTACCTTAATTTAAGTTCCTAAACAGCA